CATGCTGGCTGGGGGATTCTGGGAGTTGAAGTCCACCCATCTTAAAATGGCTGGTTTAAGCTGAAAGCCTTGATGCATCTGGGTAAAAACCAGGCAACCTTTTGCAACGTACGTATAGGAAGCCAAACTGCTGTCATACGTCGACACCACTCCGTAGTTTTCTTCGTTGTATCGAAACATATCGTTGGGATCCCATCCATTGGACTAGAAGGCAAAATGTCTGGGTGTTAAAATGGCACAGGGGAAAAGAAAAGTTTTCACAGGTTTAAAGGCTCTCTGAAGAACTGACTTTCTTAATCTCGCAACATGGGGGATGTGTTTTCAGCCGAGTTTTATCACGAGCTGCTGCCGGAGACCCAGGCGCGGGAAGACCAGACGAACCTTCATCCCCTGAAACTTGTCCATCGTACTTTAGTAAAGGGTGGGCAAAAGGGAATCGCTGTTGCCTACCAGCTGGAAATGCTCTGTTGGCCTCAGGCTGCAGAAACGGGCGGCTAATGTAATTTCTTAGCAAAACACTACCAGAAAAATCCCTTTCATTAAGCTTTACAGGGGGTCTTCTCTTTCTGAAGCAGGGGGCACACATTGGCTCAACTGGGAATGGGCAGCTTAACCTACATTGCTGCAAAAATCAACCAGCATTTTGTCTGGATTCCTCGCTATGTTTCCTTATAAACTGCTACGTAGAATGTAACGATGGAAACCTCTCTGAAGAAGAGATATCCTTGAGCAACAGATCAAGGGTTTGGCTTACCCCCCACCCCTCCTGATGAATGAACAGCGCATGGGGGGGTAGTTCCTACACAGAACAGTAAATATTCTGGACCTAAAGAAGAATGGAACAATCCCAAGAGCTCAGTTGACCAGGAGTGTTGATTCAGACACAGAAGGAGAGGGGAGATATTGAAGTTACCCTCCTTCCGTGTGTGAATCAAAGCTCTTGGATTAGTTCATGCAGTACCTTCATGCTTCCTGTTCCCTTAATACAAAACTCAGTTAACCAAGTTATCAATTCACTAAACAGAAGTGCTTTTTACAAAGGGTTTAAAAAGCCCCTTTTCTAAACAGGTTCCACCAACCTCAACAGACTCTTGTCTCGAGGGAGATTTTCCCTTCAAGTGGGACATTTCAATCGCTCAAAGGGCTGTTTTATTCAAGTGATGTTGGACAAGAAGTGGGGGAGGGCGGGAGGCAGTCATCAGAGGCAATTCTTTTTCTGGGACAATGGATGTAAACCCCTAAAAGAATCCTACACCCTCTGGAACTCAAGTCAAGTCAACCCAAGAGATGCTTACAACATCTGTTTCTAAAGCTTCAAGGTCGTCGGCCGTAGCACCTTCTCCACCATCCCAAGGCTCAAGGTCCTTCTCCTTGTGTTCACCATTAACTTTAGCACTGATGGCAGAATCCGTAAAAGCATCTGTAATTGAAGGAAATCGTACTTGAAAATATCATCTTCCTGCACGTTACGGCTAAAGTAAACCCCTATGAACCCTAAGCCTGTTGAGTCAGAAGCGAGCCCTCTTAAATCCAGTAGAACCTGAAAGGAAAAGGGACAATGACCTAGAACAGAGCTGTAGCCAACCAGGCCACAAGCAGGACCCCCAGGACTTCCACAAGTTACCAGCTGCATAGTACTCTAAGATAAAAAAGAAGAACTAGAAGATGAGCTTATCGCCATCCCTGCCTTTTCAGTATCACCCTTTTTTTTTTTTAGAAGGAAGGGATTTAGAGTCCCAGGATGACTAGTTCCTGACGCCACAGCAGGATGATCTCCCTCCCCATTTCCCAGTTGAAGGCCTGGGCTTCCCCCTTCTGTGACAGTGGCCTCCAACATGCTGCCCTCCCTGTCCTCAGAATTCCATTAGTCATGGCAGGGAGAAGTGCCTCAATCAATTGTGAAAAATCAGAAGGCCGTCACAAGGCCATGCATTTGACCCACCAACCAAAAAACACGATTTCTTCCTGCGTGAGAGCTCCTCCGTCTCCACCCCCTCAAAGATACCGGATCCTCAGGAATTCCTTTGTTATTCAAAGGAGTTTCCTGTTAAACCAGTCCAAGGAAGTCTTAGCGGTTACTTCGTAGACACTTAAGCTTAACAAACTTCATTCCTCCCTGGGAAGAGCCACTCGACTACTTGGGCACCTAGCAGGGAAACTGATTTGCTTCTACAAGATAGACCGGGATCGACTTGAAAGATCTCCGGATGCTCTGCAGCACCTCAACAAGGATTTCTAACTTCCAATCATTTAAAAGCAGCAGAAAGTCAGTGCCTCTCCTAGATTTTATTCCTGAAATGAGAAAAGCTTGGGGGAACCAGGAGCAGAAGGGCCCACGACCTGCACTTAATTTTTGTGGAATCAGAACGGTTTTAATTCTAAGTAGATGACATTTGCTTCAGACTCCCTTTAACAGATCGTGGTACTCTGGCTAATTAAGACCAACAGAGCAATCTTTATTTTAGAAGGGGATCTCATTTTAGAAAATATTCAAATACATTAAAAAAAAAAAAACACCACCTCATCCCATACCTCTCTGTGCGTAACTGGAGTCCATGTCTTTAAAGTGCACCATGACAAAATCTGAAGACTTGAAGAGGATGCTCTCGATTATGTCTTCTTGTTTGGGCCCCAGGCTGGATTCCGCCGTTTTTCGATGAGCAGCGTCAAGCACTAAATCGCACTGAAAGACACAGGGAATGGGATCAGGTACAGCCTCCTGGCAAGTTTGATGGGAAAGCTTCATGGAGCAAAAAGAGCAACAAGCAACGTTTTTTTCCAAGAGCGAAATGTCAAGAGATCAGTGTATCTCCCTCAACGGTCAGCAGTTGGACAAATCAGTGTATGTTATCAGGAGGAGCTTCGGCTGGACATTCGAGAGCCAGTTCAAGACTAAAGTCTCCTATGCCCCCCTTCCTTGGCCTCTAGACCAGTGTTTGTCAACCATGGCAACTTGAAGATCTGTGGACTTCAACTCCCAGAATTCCCCAGCCAGCATTCTGGGAGTTGAAGTCCACCCAGCTTCAAGTTGATAAGGTTGAAAAACCCTGCTCTAGATTCTCCTCCTCTCAGCATTAATAAGGGTTTTGTGTTAGAAGCTAATATAGCCAATTCACACCAGGACGCCTTGTATCACCTCAAACCCGGTTTGGGTTCACACATCAGAAAGCCAGAACATGGCTGATTTGTTTGGGTTGTAGGATGTGACCCTGGCCACCGTTGATTGAATACGGTTTATAGCTTAATGCCCATTCTATTTTATTCAATAAGGTTTGGTTCAAACATACCATGGCTTTTATATTTAACTTGGAAAGCATCTGGGTTTGATAATGGGGATAGAAAACAATAGGTAACGCTGTGAAGAAAGAGCATCTCCCTTGAATGGATGAATACGCATAACTCAAAAACCTCTGAACAGGAATGCGGTTTCCAGATGTTAAGCCTGTATAAAACTAAAGTCAAGAGCAGTGTTTCTCAACCTTGGCCACTTTAAGTTGTGTGGACTTCAACTCCCAGAATTCCCCATGCTGGCTAGGGAATTCTGGGAGCTGAAGTCCACATATCTTAAAGTGGCCAAGGTTGAGAAACACAGCTCTAGAGCAATGAAATCATAGGAGTTTAAGGTCCAACAATTTATTTTATTTTTGTTTCACATTACTTCTACTTCTACCTCACCCTTCCTCCAAGAATCAAGGTGGCATAGCATCCAATCTTCCCATTTTTCCTCCCACAGCATTATGACACATGTCCGGTTGAGAGAGAATGACCGCCCAAACATGACTGTGAGCTTCTGTGGCTGGGAAGGGACTCGATCCTGGGTCTTTCCAGTTCTAGTCCAACCCTACATGACCCTAAGATCAACCAGAAACCATAATCCCTAGCCAGAACAGTTAAATCAGTTTGACTGGGTCATGCAACGAGAGGGAAAAAAGAAAGGAAAACGCATTTACCTTAGAGCTGTATGTTTTAAAAACTCCTTCATATATATTTCCATTTTTCACTTGTACTTCACATTTCGATCCCTATGTGTAAAAAAGGAGGGAAGTGGGCAGGAGAAGAGGTGTTAGCAGGAAGGCCCATTCTACGACTGGGCTGACACATACTTACAAGCAAGACCTAAACTCCCCATCCCTTTCTAGCACCTGACTGGCCTTTCTTAATTTTTTTCACGCCCTCTGTCCTCTCCAAAAAGGCCTGGCCCTCGGAGACAGCCTCCCCACCACCTGTGCGATACAAAAGGACACCCCCAGCATTAGCAGAACCTCCCTGTGGCTTGAACGTATTAATTGATTACCCCACGAAGCAAAAGAATGGAAGCAAAATCAGGGCAATACAAAATAAAAGGCAAAGCAAGGCCTAAAGAATAAAAATCGCTGAGAAAAACAAGAGGACCGTGGAATCAAGGTTTTAAAAAGGATGGAACAGGAGTGGGACCCTGGGCTTCTGTGCTACCAGATCCAACGTTTCGCCAAGCCCTACAACGTGCTGATCTGTTCAACAACGCTTCAAAAAAGATACTCAGCCTTGCATCTGTTGCTCTAAACTTACGTTCACTCCGACAGGAACCTAAGAAAGAAGCCAGGAGCTCACAATTCCTCCCCCCTTTTCTTCTATGCAATAGCAAACTAACGAGAGGAATCATGTTTGGCTCCCCACTTCATTGGGTGCAGCACCGAAGCTTCCATTGTGCATCCGAAAAGCAAACTCCAAAAGGCAAGCACTTCGTGAGCCTCAAAATAAAGAAGCACTGTATGCAAGCATGCTTAAGGCAAAGGGTCCCCCTCCAAAAAAGCCAATAATTGCTAAATTATTTAGACGTTTCCATTTATAATGGTAAGCGAAGCATCTTCAAGGAAAGAGACAGCCATAACTTACGACAACGGATGTGAGTATGTGAACCATTCGCATGTTTGCATAAATGCCTTGAAAAGGGATCTGAAAGAAGAGAAAGAGCGTAGTACACATCAGAGCACAACTGCACACGCCACACAAATACACAAGACTGGCAACAAGCTCCAGGCTGGGAGCGGCTGATTCGACACCAGGAGAAAATCTGGGAGGGACACCAGTTTGGGAAGACCATAAGCGTGGATCACCGGAACACACCTAGAGAAGCTCCCTGAGAAATCACTGAAAACACACTCCAGTGAGTGCTCACTGCTTGCCCCACCACTCCAAAGTAGCCACAACGCCTCAAGTCCAGGCGCACCGCAGGAACCTCAGACTCCACCGACCTGTCCCTGCCTGCTCTCAAGACTTCCACCCTAGAGCTTCACCACAACGTCGACGTGACGACAGCCCTCTGTGGGGGGAACGTGGGGACAGGCTCGCTGGTCAGCGGAATTCCCAACGGACATACTTTCCAAGCCTCGGATCCTCGTTCGCGCAGGCTGGGCGAAAGGGAAATGTCACCCGCAGAGCTGCTTTTGGTGGGCCTGCACCCACGTCCTGGTCGTGTTGTCAGAGCTTCGAAACTGGGACCGTCTTCCATTTTCCCTTGACGTTACTCTTGTGTGCCAGAGAGGAAGAAAAACGGAAACTCCATCCTAAAGTTCGCCCGTGTGAGCAGCTGAGCGTCTCCTCTGGCTGGGTGTGATCCAGGCTACTCTGGTGGATGTGATCCACCCCCTGTTTGCACTGAAGTGGCCTGGGTTTGTGACATCACCGATTAATATGCTGGGGAAACTATTCAGTAAGGGTACAGCTCAGCTAAAATTGACTTTGGTCTGCTGTATCTCATGAACCAGCAAAATCTGCACTGGGTCTCCTGGCCCTTAGCTGCAGGACGGCACGTGTAGGTTTGGGCGACCCTGTGTGAGCAGAACGGGGTGCATGGTGGAGGACAAAGCATAATGCCACATTAAGGGGGTTGGGGGAGAGTCTCTACACACAACTGCTTCCTGGGGCAAAGGTCAAGCCAATGTCAGGGCCCTGGCAGACTTTACAAGGGGTCGAACTACAGACAGCCCTACAGCCATACCAACTATATTAGATGGGGGCCTCATGTACCTAACAGAGGGAAATCTGTTTTTCTCCAACATGTGTCCTTCAGCTGTATCAACTATATTCTTGGAGTTCCCAAGTGTGACCGCAGATATTAAAAATCAGAAAAGGTTTAAGCCATCAGTGAGAAGAAGACCTCCAGAAATTCCAAAGGTGTAACAATATACATCTAGGCTCCTTAAAACAAAAGTCATGGCAAGAGACATCAAAATTCCATGAATGGCAAATGATGTCTGAAATAATAATTAATGTTTCACTAGAGTTATCTCTAGAAATATCTCCATGTGGCGATTTGAAGGCACAGTTTGGGTGCCTTACACACATATGGGCATTTTGACATTAACTGGGATGAGGTTTTACTATAACAGGCAGTTCCAAACAATAAAACACCTTGAGTTTTGACTTTTATAAGAATGAATCAACCAACAAGCGCCAAAGAAGTTAACATGAAAAAACGAAAAGATGTACTTACTGGTGGCTGAGGAGGCCCTTTGCCGCTGCTGCGTCCTCTGAAATTAATACAGAAAAGTATGAGACTGGAGCAAACTGAGGAACCGTGGCTGCTGAAATTGTAACCATCTCAGGAATAAGAAGGCCCACTTTAAGAAATATCAAAACCCAGTACTTTTAAAGACAGGAGGACTGTTAGTTAACATGGACATGTTCTTACAAATCAAACATTGGTGCAGACTTAGCATAGATTAAGCTAAAACTTTTGCCAAGATAGCATGCTTGCCATTTTATCCATTTTCTGAAAACATTTCTTGAAAAGTAGCCAGTCAAACGAACATCATTAAAAGTTGATACGACTCCTAGCAATTTTCAGTTCTCTCCAACGAATAAATGACAATTTAAACAGGACACAAAATAACTTCCTGTATGAAGAGCCATACGTGGTTCTCACAGTGTCATGGAGCCAATTTCAACATAATAAAACTGAAGATTTCCTCACTGGAGTTCGAAGACCAAAACCTACGCCATCCAGGTCATCATGGGCTGATGATCAGGTTGCCCAGCACAACAAACATCATGAGCAGCTTTTGGTCGCCTAAAAACATTAAATAAATCCTTCCAGTGTTTTTCTGCAGAACAAGAGCCTAAATACAGAAATTGGGCTTTGCAGATAACCTGCCACTTTCTTAAAACACCTCTCTGATTCCCTGCAGTTCTCTATGCACCAGGAAGAAGCCATTGTGACACTCCCAATTTGCCGGACAACAATGCTCAGTATTCATCACCACCGGCCAGGTTTCCTAGGAATGCTGGGAAGTGTAGTCCAACAACCCCAGGAATGTGGCACCCACAACATACTTTTTGACTTCCTTTGGTTGGAACATGCAACAGGAGCTAGTCAAACAAGAGAAACCTTCGGCTGTTTTCTAACCTGGTTTTTCCCCCAGCGTATGGATCTCTACAACAGGACAGAGCACTGAGGAGAGACATTTCTGAGTCATTTTTCCCAAGTAATTAAGCGCTTAAGCTTATCTCTCCCTGTATAAAAGTCTCTTGCTATTTGATAACCAATATAATACTTAAAGCTTGTTAATTAACTAAGCACATTCTCTTTTAATTCAGCGTTCCCCTGCGTCTCCCTTAGGGACCTCCTCAACTATCCAAGCTTGAGAACTCCAGTTTCGTTGCTCCTTTAGGATCCCAGTGCCTAGAGGGCTACCCAAACCTCAATAAAAACGCCTGTGGGTCCGGCCCCCAAACCTTTAAAAGGTGCATGCTTATCAAGCTAAAAAAGTAACTAAGCTTTGGTTAGGAGCACTAATAGGAACTGCTAAGTAAATGTTAATATACGCAGAAGATAAACCGCTCAGTATAACCCCCCCCAGGTCCTCCTTTTGCCTTACAACCTCAGAGGGTGCTCATGAAACGCAGGAGCAAAACACTCAAATTTCAGTCATGTGACTTGACGCCCTTGTTTGGTGTTCGAAGGGGGCAACGAGGGTGGTTTCCCTTCCCGAGGCCCCCGCTCCCATTCCTGTTCTTTAAACCTCTCCCAAATACCCCAAAGAGGCCACAAATGTCCCCCAAACGCCAAACACCCAGGAGGGATGTTTCTGTCAATGGCACGGTGGGTCAGCTGGGATGTTGGCGACAGCTTCCAAGCAGGATCCAGTGGGTTCCTGGGAGCGTCACATTTGCTCTTGTGGCCCTCCAGGACTTTCAAGGGCTTCCCGTGCAACACTTCAGCAAGCTTGAAGAGCCCCCAGCTGCTGTTTGGGCAAAGCAAATCATGGACTGGGGAAGGGACTTTCCCAGCCGTGATCCGTTGCCTTGCAGACATCCTCGCGCCAGACAGACCAGCTCCTTCTCCGATCGGGAAAGTCACAGAAACATTTCCAGAAGGGAAAGCCAGTAGCTCTCCAAGTGAATCCCGAGGATCCTTATAAGCTGAAGACGTGCCATGATCACGGAGACAGACAGCCGATGCACAACGAGAACTGGATGGGCTCTCCGTAAGATGGCTGTCAAAGGCGAGCTTCAAAGGCGAAAGGCATCTTTTGTACTCAGGGTCACAGCATCACCAAGCACCTTCCTCTTCCCTCGGAGCAAATCACATCCCACAGGGAAAAGAACAAGGCATGCTCCCGGGCCTGCTGCCAAACCGCCTCTTGTATTCGGGAGGGACGCGAACGGAAGCCACCGAGAAGCCGGCCTGCTTCGACTTGGAGCAGACGCTTCTTGGTCACCAGAGCGCGAGGGAAGGCGGGGGACCCACCTATGGTCCTTGACACGAGGACCTCCACGTTTGTGGCATGTTCTGAACCACCTGCAACCAAAACGCCAGAGCAGCCAGCACCCGCACTCCTCTCAAGCCAAGTCTTTTCTCACAACAGTGATACTCATTGGGAACCCAACCAATCGGGCTGCTAAATGCTCAGCACCATTGACAAATACATAAGAAAGTCATCAGCACACAGACAGAAGTTACAGGAGAGGCGGTTCACTCTTTTTTTTAAATCTGCCAATGGCTTTGCTCACAAGCATCAAGGTTTGAAATTTCTGTCCTTGCGAATAAGCTTTAAGTTACCCCTGACCAGTTTAGCTTATTGGAGAAATTGGTAGGTTCGGATCTCTTCTTCAATTACCTTTCGGCCCTGAAGCGGCCCTAATGACCTTCTTGTGTGCGGAAAGAGATTCTGCTCTACATTTTACGAAGGATTCGAATCCAGAGGCAAATCCAAGGCTGCCTGTAGGTGTACAATGCTCAGGCTACTTAAGGTAACAAGACCGCACGCCAGCCTGAGTAACCTGTGCACTAGCTCTCCTCTGAGGTCCAAATACTGTAAACCGATTTCTGTGTAAACAGAAGGGGAGCTGGGAATTTGCACCCTGACGTTTCTAGCGGGGGGGGGCTCAAGGGCATCATAAAACAGGAGTTTTGTTGAAACTGTAGGGAGAAGAGCCAGGTTGATCTACAGTAGCAAAAAAACCCGGAGGATTCTAGTAGCACCTTTTCCGACGAATGAATGTTATTAAAAGGCAAAAGTTTTCATGAGCTGTAGCTCACGAAAGCGTCTGCCTTTTAATAAAATTTGTTCGTCGGAAAAGGTGCCACCAAACCTCCTTTGAGTAAACATTTACAGAAATCCCTCCAACTGAAGATGGGTTGGTTCAGATGCGCAACGGAACCGTTTATTTCATCAAACATTCAGGGTGCCTTCAAATTCAGCCTCATTTTCCTTTTTGTCCAGCTTCGCTGTGCAAAAAATGAGATGTAGAATTTGAATTGGTTTTATCAGGCTAACCTTGGCTGCCAGCCCCACGCCTCGTCTACACGGGCATCATGGGCCCCTCTCTTTACGACTCTCAGGCCCAAATCAGGAAGGCCACAACAGTTGTTCATCCCTGTTTTATGTCTTTCAAGGACTTGGTTGCTTTGGCTGCAGCGAGGTAACTAACTCTTTCCTGCAATTTATTTGTTCTGAAATCATTCTCCCAATTCATGACTACACAGCTCCTCTGTTTTCTTTCCTATCAGTGAAGTGCTTCACTTGAAGAGTATTCTTGCAGATTAGAGGAACAGAAATGCTTCTGATGATGAAACAAGGATGGCTGGGACTGTGCGAGGATCAAACCCTGAGCACCGGACAGACAGACCGAATTGCTATCTAGCATTCAATTTCTTCTCTGTTTAGCCATTAAACTGTACTTGGACCTTCCTGTCCTTTTGTCTCAGGGAAAAGAATCCATAACCTTTGGGGGGATGTCAAAAAACAACACAGAAGCCAGCCCTTCATTCCCTCTTCCATCACTTTTGTCCTCTGCGCATTCAGGAAATTTGGGGGATTGAAAATAGCTTGACCATTTATCTCTCCACGCAATCAAGACTGAACAAACCAGCTTTCCATGCTTCAGAAAGGGATAAGAGGAATGTGACTGTGGTCTGGGGGCAAAAGCTCCGAGAAGTTCAAACGTTTTCCAGACATGACCTACAATTATACACACACGTGCTTCTAACCAAAATAATGACCACAGAAATTGAAGCTCTGTTAAGTGCCAATTAACATTTAAAAACTCAAAAATACAGAACCTGAATCAATTATAAGACGGGAAGGATTTGCTTTACAAGCATATTTCGACTTAGGCACACGTTAGTTTGATGTGTGCTGCAAGGTATCCGTTCAACTCTCTCCTTAAGGAAACTGTCTTACACAAAGCCAAAGTACTGAGGCACACCTCAGGGTGGCCTTCAAATGGGTTCCATTTCTACCTGGCTGAAGGAGACACCAGTCGGAGCCCAACCCAACTGGAGAGTAATGGGTCTTGGAGTGTTTCCAAGCTGTCCCTGGAGATGCCAGACCCAGGATGAAGGCCTTATGCAGGCTGATTACCAATGATCCACACTCTTTCCCCGAAGTATTAACGCCGTGTTTCCTAGGGCCAAGGAGTTCCACGTGGCCTGCAGCACCAGGAGATCCCATGTCAAACTGAGTTTGAAACTGGGGGGGGGGAATCCAAAGCCATTTGGGAACGTCTTCACCATGCAAAGTCCTACCTTCCAAGGAGAGGAAATCCCTGCTCCCTTCAGAAATGCTGGAAACCTTGTGCTTCACGCCGCACATGAAGGGGCTTCCCTCCTCGGGCCCTCGCCATGCGGCAACAGTGTGCTGAGTCCCTTCTCTGCCCACTCACTCACCGAGATGGAATTCCCACTCTGTCCTTGGCTACCAGGCGAGGGTTGAGACGCACAGGGGATCTATGTATTCCCCGGGCCACTGTATGCCACACGGTCAGAACAGAGCCCTTTGCCAAGGCACGGCAGGCGAGCCGGCTCGCTATTTACAAGGAGGCGCTCGCAGATCCGTCTCCACTAACACGCTTACGTAAAAAGGGGCTCCATGCAAGAAAGGTGAATGAATTCTTGCAAGCGAACCTGCTCCAGAAAACTCTCCTATAATGGGGGAACTTATGATATTCCCAACCAGCATTTTGGTAGAAATGTTAATAGGACGAGCAGCTGTTCCCATTCAGAAGAAGAGCTGAACCAGCTTCTCTCTAGTTTCTTCAGATTTTACTCTGAAAGAGGGTGAATTTAGCTGCATGGACAATAGGAAAGCAGAATGGCGTTCCTCTTCGACTGGGCAACAGCGTACTGCAAATTAAGACTACAGTATTGCATGACTCGAACAGGTACTGGAGAGTTTGGGGGGCTTCAACAGCCGTCCCCATTTACAAGCAAACAGGCTACCCAGGGATCCATATTCGGTAAAACAGAGCTGCCGAACAGGCTTCTTCGAGACCCCCAAACCGGCTTAAGACGAGCGCTTTCATCTTCTCTACCCGCCACGTTTTCAACCTTGGCACCAACAACTTTTCGCACCCCCAGCCTGGAAGCGGCTGAGCTCCAACGCCGAAACTCGGGAGGTAAAAGGGGTTATTTCTACGGGATCGCACTCCTTGGCACGGGAAGGGTCCACCGACCCCCAGGGCCAACGGGAGGGCAGCGAAACCGGGCCGCCACCCAGCCAGCCCCTCAGCGCCTCCGGGCGACGGGCGCGGGAGCAGCGGGTCCTCCCAAGGGCCCGGCATCCCCAGGCTGCAGCTTCCCGCCCGGCGGGACTGAGACCCGCACCGCGGCTCAGGGCGGGCCCGGCCGCCTTCCTCCTCCTCCCCCTCCCCCTCAGAGGCCTGTCCGTTTTCGGGGCCGCTGGCCGAGGGCGGCGGGCCCGCTGCTCCCTGCGGAGGGCCGAGGCTCCGGCGAGGAAATGGCCACTCTG